TCTCAGTATTCTGCAAAGGCAGAAATTGCAAGGCATCTGTGCTCCACAAAAAAATGGAACAAGGAAAAGTTTCAAAATAGTTCCTCAGTTGATGATGACACAATGGCCAAAGTTGGACAAAATCGACAAGTGACTGAACACTAAGCAAATTCATGTTACATGCAGTCTGACAAAGGTTATTAATACATTTCTGGCATTACCCTCCCCCCCCCCCAAATTAAAATGCCTCTAGAACATGGTCATCTAGCCCAAAACCCATGTAATCACAATATATACGAGGGGTATTTTTTAAGTAAGGTCCGTTTTGTTGTAGACACTAGTAGTTCGCGTGCATACGGCAACGAGCGCGTGTGTCGTGTACCGGCATGCCTTGGAAACAACTGTGCTGTGATACGGTCTTTGTCAGCAAGGAACCTGCCTGCTGCAGAAATTCATCGACAGATTTGTGAAGTGTACGGTGATACTGTTATGAGTGAAAGCAAAGTGTGTAAGTGGGTACGACAATTCAAAGATGGCCGTGACAACGTCCATGATGAGGACTGCTCCGGTCGCCCTTCTTTGACGATTTGGTTATTGGAGCAGGCAGCAAATTTTATGAAGAGGGTATTTTAAAATTGGTTCAGAGGTATGATAAGTTTTTGAACAAACTTGGCAACTATGTCGAAAAATAGAGTGAAGTATGTACTTTCTGAAAATAAATTTACTTTTTTGAAATAAACTTTCGTTGTATACTTATGTTCAAACGGACCTTACTTAAAAAATATCCCTTGTATTATTGACAGAGTCATTATATTTCACACTCAGTCTTTCATGACAATTGCTCTAAAACCCTTAAACCTCCAAATTTCTGGTCTAAACACTAAGAATATTTGCTCAGCTATGCCTCCCACCATGTACAACTAAAGGAGACTTAACACTATTCTAATAAAGGTGTTTTCAAGGTTCTAGCCTGAGGCTCTTTAATATGTTTGATCGCTCTGCTACTTAGGTCAGGAAGAATTACTTCCAAATGAGACTCCACAAATGCCAACTCTCTTTTCTTCCAACTATGTTTCTATGTACATATATTTCAACATAGACACTAGGTAGGGACTTTGGTATCCACTGAAGTAGGGACTTTGGTATCCACTGTAGTTGATACCACTGTAGTGGTGCAGTAGGGACTTTGGTATCCACTGAAGTTTGATTCCAGGACTTCTGTGGATTCCAAAACCCGTGGATGCTTCAGCTCTGTTATGTACAATAGTAAAAATGATATCCTTCTTTGGATTTTGTTGTTGTTGTTGTTGTGGGGGGATATTTTAAAGTCATGAATAGTGGAATCAATGTATATGAAATCCATGGAGTGGGGATGATTGTATCAAAAGCTGTGGATGATTTCATCCTTGGATAGCTGGTTCAATCAGTGGATATGGAAACCTCAGATAAGGAGAGTCAACTGTACCCAAAACCATGGATTGCTGAATCCTTGAACAGTTGAATTCTCAGACCATACAGAAGACCCCAAATCCATGGATATGGATGATCAATTGTAGAGTTTGTTTCCAAAAGGTACCAGAGTCGAATTTTCCAGCCTTAGGTGGCTGAATCCAAACATGGCTATGGAGGGTCAATTGTCCCCAAATCAATGCTTAGGGAACCCCCAAACCCAGCCCTCCCTGGACCCATTGGACCCAACTTTTTCCATCTTCAATTGAATATGAGCACTTCAATCTGCAAGAAGTGATCAACAATGCCCTTGAAGGCAAGGATTTCCCATTGTTTCCTTAGGAGCGTCTGACAGGTGGATGTTGAGAAGAATTAACACTTGCATGAATCAGCAATGAGGTTTTTTTAGTTCAGTAGCAATCCTGTTCAAGAGACATGAGTCACTAATCTGTCATAAGGGTGAACTCCTTTCTCTGTCCTGTCCTTTTACTTTAGGTTGGCTTTGGTGTTCCCTACGTCTTGATTTCAGTATATTAATATGTATTATTTTACTGACACAAAAACACAGTATATGACATAGACCTATATGCTGGATTTCGTATCACAAAATCACAAGTCGAACACTTCCCAAGCTTTCAGGACTGTGTGATGTATTTTCAAATGATGCGTGCAAATCCAAGTAAGGTGGCCTTTTGCAGTTGACAGGTCATGATTTTGTCAATGTTTATTGTTTTCAATTATTATTATTATTATTATTATTATTATTATTATTATTATTATTTTACTGACACAAAAACACAGTATGTCACAGCAAATGAGATCTATATGCTGGATTTCGTATCACAAAATCACAAGTTAAATACTTCCCAGCCATAGGTTTTTAAATTTCTGTTGTTATTATCTACCTGTGAGTTATACTAATTGTATTGTTTATTTTGTTTACTGCTTGTTGTTTTTGATGTGTTGTTGGGTTTGGCCTCATGTAAGCTGCTCCAAGTCCCTTAGGGAGATGGTGGCGGGGTAGAAATAAAGTTTTATTATTATTATTCCTAAGCGTCTAGGACTGTGTGATGTATTTTCGAATGATGTGTGCAGATCCAAGTAAGGTATTATTATTATTATTATTATTATTATTATTATTATTATTATTATTCCCTGCTATATCTCTCCTTCAGGAGACTCAAAGCCTTGATTTGGATATTTATTATTATTATTATTATTATTATTATTATTATTATTATTATATTTATCTCTCCCACTTTATCTCTCCCACGGAAGACTTAGTGCTGCTTAAAAACATCAGCATACAATTTAAAATATACAAATATTTAAAGATCATTTGTATTAAACACAATTCAGGTTAAGTCCATAAATCTGACTTACTTTATGGATGGTCTCCTTTCTTCTATCCTGTTCTTTTACTTTGGCTGGGTATTCCCTAAACCCTGATTTAGGTTATTATTATTATTATTATTAACCCCCGGGGATTATCTCTCCAGCAGAAGACTATTACATTTATTTATACTTTTTCACTGGCTGAGCTTCAGTGTTCCCTTAGCCTTGATTTGGGTATGTAATATTTAATAACCCTTGATTTGAGTATTTATTATTATTATTATTATTATTATTATTATTATTATTATTATTAATCCCCTGGTTTATCTCCCACAGAAGACTATTACATTTATTTATACCCTTTCACTCTGGCTGAGCTTCAGTGTTCCCTAAGTCTTGATTTGGGTATGTAATATTTAATAACCCTTGATTTGAATATTTATTATTATTATTAATCCCCTACTTTATCTCGCGCAGAAGACTATTACATTTATTTATGCCCTTTCACTCTGGCTGGCTGGGATTCAGTGTTTCCTTAGCCTTGATTTTGCAGATTGAAGTGCTCATATTCAATGGAAGATGGAAAAAGTTGGGTCCAGGGAGGGCTGAGTTTGGGGGTTCCCTAAGCATTGATTTGGGGACAATTGATCCTCCATAGCCATGTTTGGATTCAGCCACCTAAAGTTGGGAAATCCAACTCTCCCAAGGATCCAACAAGCCATGGCTCATATTCAATGGAAGATGGAACAAGTTGGGTCCAGGGAGAGCTGAGTTTGGGGGTTCCCTAAGCATTGATTTAGGGGCAACTGATCCTCCATAGCCATGTTCGGATTCAGCCACCTAAAGTTGGAAAATCCGACTCTCCCAAGGATCCCACAAGCCATGGCTCATATTCAATTGAAGATGGAAAAAGTAGGGTCCAATGGGTCCAGGAAGGTCTGAGTTTGGGGGCTCAGTAAGCATTGATTTGGGGGTTCCCTAAGCATTGATTTGGGTTCAACTGATTCCCCATAGCCATGTTTGGATTCAGCCACCTAAAGTTGGAAAATCCAACTCTCCCAAGGATCCAACAAGCCATGGCTCATATTCAATGGAAGATGGAACAAGTTGGGTCCAGGGAGAGCTGAGTTTGGGGGTTCCCTAAGCATTGATTTAGGGGCAACTGATCCTCCATAGCCATGTTCGGATTCAGCCACCTAAAGTTGGAAAATCCGACTCTCCCAAGGATCCAACAAGCCATGGCTCATATTCAATTGAAGATGGAAAAAGTAGGGTCCAATGGGTCCAGGAAGGTCTGAGTTTGGGGGCTCAGTAAGCATTGATTTGGGGGTTCCCTAAGCATTGATTTGGGTTCAACTGATTCCCCATAGCCATGTTTGGATTCAGCCACCTAAAGTTGGAAAATCCAACTCTCCCAAGGATCCAACAAGCCATGGCTCATATTCAATGGAAGATGGAACAAGTTGGGTCCAGGGAGAGCTGAGTTTGGGGGTTCCCTAAGCATTGATTTAGGGGCAACTGATCCTCCATAGCCATGTTCGGATTCAGCCACCTAAAGTTGGAAAATCCGACTCTCCCAAGGATCCCACAAGCCATGGCTCATATTCAATTGAAGATGGAAAAAGTAGGGTCCAGGGAGGGCTGGGTTTGGGGGTTCCCTAAGCATTGATTTGGGGACAATTGATCCTCTATAACCATGTTTGGATTCAGCCACCTAAAGTTGGAAAATCCGACTCTCCCAAGGATCCAACAAGCCATGGAAGATGGAAAACGTTGGGTCCAATGGGTCCAGGGAGAGCTGAGTTTGGGGGTTCCCTAAGCATTGATTTGGGGACAATTGATCCTCCATAGCCATGTTTGGATTCAGCCACCTAAAGTTGGAAAATGCGACTCTCCCAAGGATCCAACAACCCATGGCTCATATTCAATTGAAGATGGAAAAAGTTGGGTCCAATGGGTTGGATTCAGCCACCTAAAGTTGGCAAATCCGACTCTCCCAAGGATCCAACAAGCCATGGCTTTGGACAGAGCTGATCTCCATAGCCATGGAAGCCCATCCTCATCCTGTTTTTCCTGCCGAAAGGATGGATGTAAGAAAGCTCCGATCTAGACAGGGAAGGGCTCTGCATTTCAAGTCAGGAGCGCTCTTTTGGCTGGAGATCAGGGCGAAAGAACAGCCAAGCTGGAACAAGTCAGAGCTCTTGTCCAGACTCTTAAGAATATATGAATAATCTTACCTCTCCTCTCTCTCTCGGGAAGCCTCCAGTGCGTCTCCAAAGCGGCGTCTCTTCCTTGGATCGGGAGGGAAAGGCAGGCAGGCAGGCAAACGCAGCGACTCCTTGGGCACAACTTTTCCCCCTTTCTCCTCCGAAGCCAAGGCTCTCACCTCCCCGACGAGGCGCACCGCCGCCCTCTGGCCGGCTCTCCTCCCCACGCGCGACACATTTCCTCCGCGTGTGCCGGCCCTTGGGCGGCTTCCAGAGCTGGGGCGGTCCCCAAAAGAGGCTGATCTTCCTCCTCCTCCTCCTCTTCGCCGGAGCCGCTCCTTTTCCCCAACCTCGGGCTCTTGCTTTCTCCTCCTTCTCTTTCTCTGCCAGAGGCGTCAGGTTGTAATCCAAGCGATGGGGAGGAAGAAGGCGAGGCTCCAAAGCCCGGGGAGGGAGGGAGGGGGGCGGGGAGTTCCTCGACGGCTTCCCTTCCAGCCTCTGGATCTCGTTCTCAAAGGGAAGAGATTCATCACCAGGCAGTGGATCATAGAATCATAGAATCAAAGAGTTGGAAGAGACCTCATGAGCCATCCAGTCCAACCCCCTGCCAAGAAGGAGGAATATTGCATTCAAATAACCCCTGACAGATGGCCTTCCAGCCTCTGTTTAAAAGCTTCCAAAGAAAGAGCCTCCATCACACTCCGGGGCAGAGAGTTCCACTGCTGA